TGAATGCTGACTATATAAAGGAGAGATTGTACCTATAGCAGGAGGATATTAGCAAAAAGTGTTTTATCATTTGATCCCATTCTTGCATTAAAAACACCAAATATAATTACATATACAAAAGGGTAAGGAAGTATGAAGTTGCTTGAGTAAGCTTCTATTTTGGCCCTCAAGATGTTAATTTGGAGTCAATTTCACAAAGGTGGAATGTATACATTAACCAATAATAGCATGGCATTATTAAATTTTAACAGCAAAGCATAATGCTGTTAAATTGACTAAATTTGACTAACTGACTAAATGTGAAAAGTAAAGTAAAGTAAAGTAAAGTAAAGTAAAGTAAAGTAAAGTAAAGTAAAGTAAAGTAAAGTAAAGTAAAGTAAAGTAAAGTAAAGTAAAGTAAAGTAAAGTAAAGTAAAGTAAAGTAAAGTAATGCTCCAATGGGTTTACCACAGTGTTTCCTTGGCAACTTTGAGATGTGTGAACTTCACCTCCCAGAATCTGCCAGCCAGCATTTTAAGAAGCATGGACTTCAACTCCCAGAATTCCTCGGCCAGCAGGAATTCCAGAAGTTAAAGTCCACACATCTTAAGGTCGAAAAACACTGGTCTAGCATATGTTTTTAAAACTTAGCTTAGTTGAAATCTGTAGGCATAGAACCTCACACCACTGTGCCTTGTTTTGTTCTGGACAGTGCTGACAGTGAAAAGGACTTGTATCCACCAAAAAGCAAGCTGACTAGGTTTCCTGGAATAAAAGTGTCATCTTGGTAACATAATTCACAAAACCAGAGTCTTTGGACTTGGTGTTCCATCCAGCAATATTCCATAAGAGGAGTGGCAGAATAGCCTGTCAGAATTTCCAGTGGAAGGCATTAGTGAAGACAATGCTTCCTAGATACCAGCAGCACGAAGGAATATTCTTTTCTTATCATTAGGATCAGCTTTGCCAAGGAGATAATAATAGATTGTCAAGGTGCGCAATTTTGAGAACAGCATAAGATCCACAGCTGGGCTTTTGCCCATAAATCTTTGCTAAATGGCAAAGTACTCCTCTCCTGTATTAATTTGGTCTTTAGAATATTCATCTAACCATTCCACTAATTCACCAATGTTTGCTGGGGCATACAAATTGAGGCACTGAAACTAAATGAGGAACAGGTATGAGGAATGTGCCTTGATCTGATGGAGGCAATAAAAAGACCTTTGTTTCTGCATCGTTATGTACTGGATCCCTAACTGTTGCACCACCTTTTCAAGTGTGGTCTGGGAGAAGTCAGGTCTGTGTATTTGGGTTCTCCAAGTCCATGACAACAATGCTGGTACATCGCTTCTCAGATTTATTGCGACAGTCCAAGGCAGCTAGGAAGACCAAATTGATTAGTGGTTTGGCCATTAAGCACATTGTTACCAGCAGTTGTCAACTGATCTAGTCACTTTATGATGTCCACTTGCTCAGAGTCTGGCAAGGCACCAAAAGAGTCAATTAGCCTTGCTTCTAGAGACTCATCAATGCACTCTCTTTTCATACATACTGCAGATTGTTCCTTTTCAAGGGCATTTCTGGCAGAGCATCCTTGAGTTTATCTTGGTTTAATTTATTACACTTAGACTGTAAAGTAACAGTATTCTCCTGAGCAAATTGAACTAAAAGCAGAGTAATTTTCTCTGTATGAACACAGATGTTGGAAATATTAAGAAGTTGCTCAAGAAGAGTTTCCTTTAAACAACATGTTTGAAACTGTAGGTTGCTACTTGTAACCTCTTCTGGATGGTAACCACTCCACTTTCAGTATCAGATACTTTTCATAGCAAAGAAAAGTGTGAAGCCAGCTCAAGGACAAGGCAACTGCCTTTTTCAAGTCCCATCATCATTCTTCTGTTGAGATTTGTAGGGTGGCCTAACTTGAATGCAAATTTCAATTTCTATTTTCTCCCCTTTCCTTTTTACCATGCTTGACATTAGGCTCTCCCTGACCATCATTTTCCTTCCTGTCAAGTTCAGACATAAGAGCAGCCTTTTTTTCTCCACTGGCTGCTTATTGAGCACATTTAGTGGATTTTGCACTAAGGATACATGCCCTGGCAATCTCTGTTGTTTTTGTTTCGTTGGCTTTCAATATACATTGTGAAACTCTCTTTTAGAGAGCCCATCTTGTTTTTTTATTGCGGTCGCCAACTCGAACATTGAGATTACTGTCTGCGCTGTCAATAGATGCTGTCTGGTTATAAAATCTATTACATTCTCCTTTTTTTAGATCCATATCATTCGCATCCTGCAGTGAAGCTGCTGAACAGACGGTAGAAATCTCAGGGGAGTGGGGTTCTGTTGCTATCAGATTTCTCCTTCAGTGTACAGAAAAGTTCTAAAAATGGTTGACTTTCAGTCTCTCCTTATAAATCCCACTCTAGGGGATCCTATCTGTTTGACAAGTATACGAGACTCAAATTACTTCTTGTTTGCTATGTATTTGTCCATTTTCAGCTGTTTTGAAAAGCTGGATGGGTTCTATGCCCCAGGGTGTGCACATGATTTCTTCTTTGTTTTCCCCATTGTCCAGTCCAGTCAGATCAATGAGTAATCAAAAATGCTTAAACTAAAAGCTAAAAATTGCTTGCTAAAATTAGAAGTTTGATAATAATTACTAGTTAAGTAATTTGTCTAACTACAGCATAGAAGTAAAATAATAGAACGACATCATTTTTGTATAAGACTGAAGACTTGCTAATAAACTACTGTCCCATAAGCTCACTCCTACTGATTCCAACCTGGTCTGATCATTCATAGCAAGAAGTAGGGAATCAGAGGGTTTGGGTAGCTAATGTTCCAATGGCTTTATCTTCCAATCTGGCAGGAGAAAATTTATGCCTGAAATCACTGAGTGGCAATTTGTTATATAGAGCTTGTTTACATTGCAAGTTCTATCTTGCAGATTTCCTTTGAGAGCAAAACCATATTTTAATTGTCTTTCCTGAATAATTCAGTTTTGTTCTGTTTAAAGTAATATTCCCCATCAGCAGAAAGATTCAAAAATCTATTAAAGTTTAATCTTTGGGTTTCTCAATAAAAGGACTCCCAATTAAATCTAGCTCTCCTAAACTAAATAGAATATATGCATATTCTTCCATGAACTGAGTCTATAAAGTTCTTTCAGTTGCCTGCTCATTTCTGTTCTCCTTTTGCAACTTCCCCCCTTTGCTGATACTGATTTTCAAAAGAGAGGGGCACATCTTTCTTTTCTAAAATTAACTGTTCAGAGGGCAAAGGAAATTGGCAGGTTGGAGCAAAGGTTATAGACAGTAACCTGGGTCTGTTGGTTTCCTGAGAACTAGTGATTTTCTCTTCTAAATTTTTCCATTACTTTATGTGTGTGTAATGTGTGTGTAAAAGAGAGTGAGAAAAAAATTTACCCACTGCACAGGCAACATTTCCTTACCTTCCAGTGCTGTGCTGCAGTATATCCCTAAAGATGGGAAGCATCTTATTTTAAGATGAGCAAAAATACAATGCCAAAGTATCTCATTCAGCTCAGCCATACAATAGAGTTGAATGTGTGCTATGAATATGACTTCGGTGGTAACCTATAGTTTATTACCTTAACTCTCCTCTGAGTTGAGTTCAGCTCCTGATGACTTCGTGGACATATCCATGTGGTTTTCTTGGCAACAAAAAGGAAGTGATTTCCCAGTTGCCTTGTTTTGTTTTATTTTGCAGTCTAGTCCACAGCCCTGAGACTTCCTAGTGGTTTCCCATATAAGTATTAACTGGTATGATCTGCTTTGCTTTTTGAGATGGGCTGCCATTTATTATCTGGAGCCATCAACATCTACTTTTGCAGCCAAAGATGCTGTTAGCTTTGGCATATATTAAATAGCAAGGTTAGAGGCAGGTGTGCAATAGCTCATAATTCCAGAAACCCTGGACACATGCATTTAACATTTATATACCTGCCCCAATCTAAATATCTGGGTGGCATATATAATTTTAAAAACCACTGGAAACCTTTGCTAATCATGTTCATACAACAACTTTAAATGGCTGCCTGCAATGAACCTTATATGTTTAAACAATAAGATAGGTTTTAGAACCTTACAAAACATTAAGAGGGACAGGGACAAGCACATCTCCAGAGGAGATAATCTGCAGTCCATTACAGAGAAAGCCTGCCTTCAGCTCCTGGGGGTGGGATCTAGAATAGGATCTTGCTAATGTCCACAAAGTACAGGCAGAATTTTAGTTAGGCAACCTCCTATAGGGGAGGGGAGGG